CCCCTGTCAGAGAGCCTCGGAAACAAAGTTCATGTTACCCAAGGGCCGTGTGAAGAGGCCCTGAGGTCAGGACGCAAGACCAAACAAAATTCACGACTGCCACATTCATCATTCTACAATCTGCCTCCAGCTCCGTGATCCCTAAGCATCCAGACTGTCCATACCCAAGACAACCCTCTCCACGGCAGATCACAAACAGCCCTGCCCACCCTCCCTACTCGCCCGGAGCTCATTATCCATTTCTCCAAGCCAGAGAGAGCCTTGGGATTGCAGTCGGCGACCCAGCTAAGGGCCTAGATGTCCTGATGAGTCCATCATAAATGTTTCTTCACACAACAGGAACATGAAATTCGATTTGTTCTGAGAATGAAGAAGATGCTTGATTTTCCATCATCGGGTGAGGTCATGGGAGGGAAAGGATGCTCCAACTACCGTTGCACCAACCATTCATAATTAGATCAGGGGAATGGACTTAAAACCGTAAGATGGTTCACGCACAGATGGTTCCTGGCTGACAATGGTTGGATTGAATGATTTTTTTTTTTGACTCCATGATAGCATAAAGTATACTCACTTTTACTTTTAGTAGATCATGCAATAAAATAAATGAGCTAGCCAGCACTTTACTATATTACAAATCAGACTGCTGGTGACGTATTTGTGTTTATCCATTGATTTTGAGACAGAGTCTGACTCTGTAGCCCACACTAGCCTTGATCTGACAGTGATTCTCCTGTCTCTGCCTCCTGAGTGCTGGGATTACAGATGTGTGCCACCTCACTCGGCTTGTTGGATAATGTCCCCATACCGTAAGGCAGTATACATGTGCTGGGTATGTTGAAACTGGGCGAGGATTAACTATAATGTTTGGGAAATGAGATATATTGGCTGCATTTTGACTTAGGTATATTTAACTGGGATGAGTTTATAAGTGGCCAAAGCCGCGTTGTAAACTGAAGAAGAACGTCTATGTTTTATACTGCCAAGGGGTTGCTTTTCATTCCCATTTCTGAACAAGTTATGAGCGAGAACTGAGGTCGCACAGGTCATTTACAGGACCGGGGCTGAAGGCAGTCCACTCCACACTCTGGCCATTTTCCTCACATACTTGATACTATTTTCAAAACTTTACGCTAACGACCTCCTAATTCTAACACATATTTTGTTATAAAGATTTCACATGTTACATTACGAATAATTTAACCTAAAATGCTTCACTACAAACAGTCACACTGTATGATTATTACGGGCAGAGAAGGTCATTTCAGAGCATATCTTCCTAAACCTGAAGAAATAAGAGGCTGGGCAGCCAGGGTGGCTTAGATTCTGATGGTGTCCACCCCTCATGCCTATCTGCTGTGGGAGTAGGGAATAAGAAGATGGTGTCCTCATCTTTTAGAAATTGACCATAAAGCCCCAATTTGTGGACTAATAGCATCCATACTGATTGGTCAAGACAGACTCCAAAATACCCCTTCATCTTAGCAACATCAGAAGTGAGTGCCAAGTAAGCAGGACAAAATGGATCTCAGGCTGGCAGGACTTTGCTTTAGAATGAATTTTTATACACCTTCAGATTTCATATGTTAGAGGCAAATCTCTATGTGGTATCTGGGAGGTAAGGCCATATGTGGGCGTGATTATAGCTTAAGGATGGAGCAAAAAGGCTTCCAAGAACATCCTTGTCACATGAGGTTGAAAAAAAAAAAAAGCCTATCTATGAAGCCAGATGAGAGCCTTCAGCAAACACTGAAACTTCCAGGGTCTTTATCCCAGACTTCACAGCCTCCAGCCTGTGAGTAATACATTTCTGTTGTTTGTAAGCCAGCTACTTGATGGCATTTTGTTTTAACAACCCAGACAGACCAAGACGAATCTGAAGGAGCAAGACTCGACTTCATCAAACAAGAGCTAAGTAAGGACTGGACAGCACAGAGGAACTACGTGCATCTCACATTGTTTAATCCCTACAAGGTCTTCTGAGGTTTTCCATCCCCACAACTGACGATTAGCAATCAATGATGTGACTTGTGGAAGTCACGCAGAGCCACATGCATCTTATCCCTACTGTCCCCAGACAACTTCAGCCATTCCTATCCTCCCTTAAAACTGAGCCCCCATATTCATTTTCTGATAAAGAAAATACACTACTTAAAATTTTAAAAGCACAAGAACTTTTTATCATCCACCGCCTCCAGCGGGAAGTGGATGTCAGTGGGGGACGTGGAAGGTCAGAGCCGCTAAGAATGGAGGCAAAGGACACAAACGCCTCGTACTCCGCTGTCCTATGCACAGGAGGGCGGGGGTGGGGGTGGGGGTGGGGAGCACTGACTATTGCTGACCCAGCATTCTCTCATCCACACCCACTCAGAGTCTGCTCTGTGTCAGCCACTAGGTTGAGCACAGCAATGAGGTGACTGAGGTAAGAGCCGTGCCTTCCAGAACTCAATCTGGAGAGGAAGTTAGAGATTTGAAAAAACAACAACAACAACAAAACAATAATACCCTGAAAGCCACACTACAGACCTCTGTAGATACCAGCACTGGTGGGGGGGGTTGACTCCCTACGAGGATCAGAGGACACTTCCCAGCAGTGTCTTTTGTGCTGGCATCTCAAAGGATAAGGAGGAATTCTTCTGGCAGAGACAGGAAGAGCCCTCTCTAAACAGAGTAAATTTCCAAAGGGATGTAGGTCAGAGAGACGGTGGTGCCTTGAGCTGACAGAGAAGGTAGTGATCTGGCTGAAGTGGGGTGGGAGTGGGAGTGGGGAGATGGGGGGAATGGGTGGTGGTAGTGACGGGGAAATGGTGTCTGAGAGGCCAGTGGGGATCTGAGTCGGCCAACAAGTCTGGCCGCATTCTCTCCAGGGAAGGCAGCTCAAAGCTTTAGGTGGGAAGTGACCAGGTCTATGCTGAGATCATATTTTTAGCCTTGGGTGACAGAGAAAAACCACACAGGCCAGCTGTTATAAACTCGACTGGGAATGACCTTTGTCTCCCAGAGGCCTTTGGTGACCCTCCTGTCTAGTGCTACATTTCACAGGTGACGAATCAAGGCCTAGAAAGGTTAGGAGACCTGCACAAAGCTATCCAGTTAGGGAACAGGAGAACTGGGACTGGAGTCAAGCATCTTCTACACTTTCCCAGAGAACCAAGAGAAAAAGAAAAAAGCGGAGCTCCACCACTGGCTGCTTCCAGAACATTCTACCACGAACACGGGAAAGCAGCATTAGGAATTGGGCTGACATCTCCTGTCCCAGTGCTTGGAGAGAGGCTGAGATGGATACTCTGTCGATTTGATGGGACTTAGAGTCATTTGTAGACAAACCAATGGGCGTGTGTCTGGAAGGTCTTTGTAGATTAGGTTGGCTGAGGCGGGAAGACCTTCCTATAATGACGGACAAAATAAAATGTAGAAAGTGACCGGAGCACTGGCAATTACCTCTCTCTCTCTGCTCCCTGACTATGGACATCATGTGACCAGCCGACGCAAGCTCCTTGGCCCTGTGACTTCTTCACCAGGATGCACCGCACACACCCGAACTGTGAGTCAAGACAGAATCATTGCTTCATCGAGTTGCTTTTTTGTTGGTGTGTTTTGGTATAACAACAAGATAAGCAATGAATAGAGTGGAAGGTGTTGGGGAGAGGGGATACTGTAAGTCTGTGGCTGGACTGGGCTGTCTCGACCACCCCTTAAACCAACCAACCAAAGCAAACACAAATTGGGTAGAAGACAAGGCTCTTACTTTATGCTAGTCTGGGACTCCTGCTATCACACACGCCTTGTAACTAGCAATGGTGATGTTGTAGAGTTACAGCCCAACACGCTCCCTGGGGAATTGAGTGAAGGCACAGGGCTACTTTCTAAACCAATCAAGGAATCAAATCTTGCCAGCGATGGCACAGAGGTAGAGGCGTTTGCTGCCAAGCTAGGTGACCTGAGCTCAATCTCTGGAACCCACATAAGAGGATAAAACTGACTCTCTCAAGTTGTCCTTTGACACGAGTGCGCTCGCGCTCTCTCTCTCTCTCTCTCTCTCTCTCTCTCTCTCTCTCTCTCTCTCACACACACACACACACACACACACACACATACACACAGACAGTATAAAAATGAAATGTTGGATAACCCCCCACCCGAACTATCTACATTGCTGAGACACATAGGAAAGACCTTTGTGAGCAGCTTGGACCAGTCTGTTCACAGAGCTGAAGGTCTCTACTGGAGTCTTACTATCTTGAAGGAAATCCTGGCAGGAAAACATTTTTCTCCACAGATCCCTACCCGCTGTGCTAATGCTCAGAGACTTTAGCCCCCAAAGTAGCTTGGGACTTGGAGGGGGGGGGCAAGTTACTTTTATGCCCAACATCTTCTTTCTGGAGTTTGAGGACAAGGGAGACAGTTTCATTCTGCTTTCCATAAAACTTCGATTTTTAAGGGGAGCGTGGGTCTCCTAAGCCCTCCTACGATTTCACCCCCAGGAGGATCGTCTACAGGAGAATTTATCGTCAATGTAGAAACAGGTTTTTTGACACCTGCATGGTTCCCAAGGGTCCCGAGCCTTCCTGTTTGAGTGTGAACTTGTGCCACGCCATCGGGGATCTCAGCTGCTATGGGAAGAGGCTCCTTCTGGTGATGTGAGCCACGGCGCGACCTGCAGGAGCTCAACTGATGAGGTGCAGGCCAAGGGAGGAGTCCTGCACTTTTCAGAACGACCCTGTGTTGTGCACGCTGACCCGACGGGAGAGGCAGACCAGCTGGCTGCAGGTGGGAGAAGAGTCAGCCGCAATAATAAATTCACGGAGGTGGAGTGTGTCGTCACACGCAGAGCCGGGATGTGCGATCCAGAAGGTGTGTGGGGGGGAGTTAATACCATATGCCGTTTGGCTGTGGTGGGGCTGCTTTCATGTCACAACAACCTGTTCCTCTCAAATGGCTCCAACACCGCCCCCCACCCCCAACACCACTACCCTCTGCCAGACCCACGTGACTCTTACCAGGTACTGAAGTCGCTGGCGCTCGGTCTCGGGGGTGAATTCCGAAGACATGGGGATGATTTCTCCATTTCTGACGATTATGGCCCTGAAATGGGAAAAACGCATCAGCAGCCGACAAATTCAGAAAGCCTCTGTGACAACCACCGACAGGCCATGCAAGATGTCCTCTCCTCTCCCACCCCCACCCCCCCAGCAGGTTCACTAATACCATCTCTGGATCCCTCGCCTTAATGCCCTGGCAACAAGTATCCAACTCTACATATATAATAAATGTTCAGGGATTAAATGGGTGAAGGAATAAATGAATGTCGCCACAGTTCTCCCTCGAACCCAAAGTTTGTCCAGTGGAACCTTCTGTGAGCACAGTAACGTTCTTTGCATAGTCCAACAGGGCTGCCCCCAGTGCCATGTGCATACTGAGCATTCGATCTGTGGCTAACCTGCAGCCGGGGAACATCATTTATAATGCTGTCTAGCCTAAAGAAGTCTGAGGTGGCTAGAATCTAACGTACTGGGCCGTGCAAAGCTAGACTCTTGGGAACTCCAAGGATCAGTGTGCAGCAGCACTGGCCTCACTTGGGTGAAGGAAATGCAGAGTCCGAGGTTCTACTCCAGGCTTCTTCTTCTTCTTCTTCTTTTTTTTTTTTTGAGACAGGGTTTCTCTGTGTAGCTTTGCTCCTTTCCTGTAACTCATTCTGTAGCCCAGGCTGGCCTCGAACACACAGAGATCTGCCTGGCTCTGCCTCCCCAGTGTTGGGATCAAAGGCGTGCGCCACCACTGCCCGGCTACTCCAGGCTTCTTATCGGAACTGTCACTGTAATTAGATTCCCAAGAGGGTTCACAAGCACGTTAAGAGCTGGACACTTCTGGCCTAGAGTTTCTAGGTTTATAACCTGGGGTCTAGAAAAAGCCGCTTTTACCGTCTTAAGGCTCATAAAATTCACACATTCCAAAAAAATCTGCCCAAGAGCTACTGTCCACTCAAGAACTAGAGAGCACACACCCCAACCCCACCCCCACCCCACCCCCCGCCCCCGCTTGGGGGTGTGGGTCAAATGACCCTTTCACAGGGGTCATATGTCAGATATCCTGCATATCACATATTTGCATTATGATTCCTAACAGCAGCGAAATTATGGTTATGAAGTAGCAACGAAATAATTTTTATGGTTGAGGGGTCATCACCACATCAGGGACTGAATTAAAGGGTTGCAGCGTTAGGAACGTTGAGAACCACTAGTCTATAAGATCTCTACGGGACATGCCATTGTTCTGAAGCCACTGGTAGCATCCGATTCCAACCTTGGCTTTTAGGACCTCCTCTTTCTAGATTCTTCCTTACATCTCTCCTCGGACTCTAGGGACAGCTCTTACCCCACAGGCAATCTCCTTTCCTTGCTCTTCGCCCTAAGGCTGGGTGAGACTTCTTTCACGTCCTTTTTGGCCTGCGATGTATCTCTTTACAAAAGATATCACATTTATAACCCTGGCTATCTTCCACGCCAGCCTGTAAGTTTCTATAACAATCATGCCTGACTCCACCAATGTTATAATTCCAGGATGGCACACCACACATCAGGCAATTGTAGGCAGAACTGGCTTGATAACTTCAGAGCCCAGTACAAAATATGATCACAGGACCCTTTGTTTAAAACTTGGAAACTTGGGGCTGGGCAAATGGCTTGATTAGCAAAGCACTTGCCACGAAAGTAGGAGGGTCTGAGTCTGGTCCTCAGGATCCGTGTAAAGCAGCCCACACTGCAGTGTGAATCTGTCATCTCAGAGCTGGGGAGGTGGGGACAAGGAAGAGCCTAGGCGCCTGACTGGTCAGTCAGACTGGTGAGCTCCAGGTTCAGCGAGAGACCCTGTCTCAAAAATTAAGATGGAGGGGCTGGAGAGGTGGCTCAGCCGTTAAGAGCACTGGCTGCTCTTCTAGAAGACTCAGGTTTGAGTCCTAGCACCCACATGGAGGTTCTCAAAGGTCTGCAGCTCCAGTTCCAGAGATCAGTCTCCCTCTTTCGGCCTCCTCAGGCACTTCAAACACGTGCTATACAGACATGGGTGCAGGTAAAACACCCCTATACATGAAATAAAAATAAAGGAACAGAAAAGATGGAAAGAGGTTGAGGATGGCACCAGGCATTGACTTCTGGTCTCTACATGAACACATGTGCATATGTACATACAAACATGCATGCACAGATAGAGAGAATTGAACACTTCAAGACGGCAAGATGAGGGCCTTAAAACAAATGTGGGGTCCTTCTGATAGCGGGGTTCTAACTCACTGAACCCCTGAAACTGTAAGCCACCGCAAATTAAATGTTTTCCTTTATGAGAGTTCCCGTGGTCACGGTGTCTCTTCACAGCAATGTAGCCCTAACGAAGACATCCAGTTTACATGCCGTGAAGATGGTCCTGACAGTGTGCACCCTTGATGTTTGTGAATGATTACATGGCATTAATACCAATGCATACTGAGGCTGCAGGTTGTCTTTGTGGCCAACACATCTCTGCTGTGTTTCAATCTTGAAGCAGCTAACAGCTGCATCCGTTTGGATACTTCACGGGACGGCACACTGAGTAACGTTCCAAACTGATGACCTGCGCCACCCTCTCTCAGCCCCCACAAAATCTGTCCTCCAGAATCCTCTGCCACAGGGATTGGCCCTACTTCTCACCCAGCTGTAGAACCCAGACTTCCCAGTTCTGACCCCCTTGCTCCACAGGTCCAAGAAGGTGCCCTGTCCTGCAGGCCTCTCCTCTCGGTAGCACACGAGTCCTTCTCTCCTTGATTTCTACCACTCTGTCTTGGCCTGGGTTTCCATCAGACCCTGTATATGACTCAGAGCTCTCCCTGGGTTTCCTGCTACCAACTGTGGTGGTTTGAAGGAAAATGTCCCCCCATAGGGAGTGGCACTATTAGGAGGTGTGGCCTTGTTGGGATAGGTGTGGCCTTGTTGGAGTAGGTGTGGTCTTGTTGGAGGAAGTGTGTCACTGTGGAGTGGGCTTTGAGGTCTCCTATGTTTTAGCTACGCTCAGTGTTACACTTCACTTCCTGTTGCCTACGGATCAAGATGTAGGACTTTTAGCTCCTTCTCCAGCAGGTATCTATCTGCCCACACACCACCATGTGTCCCACCATGATGACAACAGACTGAACCTCTGAAGCTGTAAGCCACTCAAATCAATGTTTTCCTTTACAAAAGTTGCTGTGGTCATGGTGTGTCTGCACAGCAACTGAAACCCTAAGACACCAATTTCTTACCCAGGGGTACAAGTGGGCTTTTTTTTTATATAAATTAACAAATTAAATATGTACGTTTATGGGATATGATAGTCCATATCTATAAATAATAGGTGGAGATTACAGGTTAATTGGAAGATTTACTAGCTCTAACACCTATTCCTCCTTTCTGATGGGAACACTCACAATCATATGGCTCTCTCTTTTTTTTTTTTGAGACAGGGTCTCTCTATGCAGTCCTGACTATCCTGGAACTCAGTATGCAGACTAGCCTCACAGGAACTCACAGAGATCCACTTGCCTCTGCCTCCCCAGTGCTGGAATTAAAGGGTGTGCCCCACCATGCCAGGCCTACTCACAAGTATTTCTACTAGTGATTTTGGATGTGCAACGTCCTGAAGCATACGTATTCTGCTGTGTGTGTCACAGAACATCAGAGTAGACTCCTATCTGATTTTACCCATCATCCTCCACCTCCCCCATCTTCCCTTCCCAGACTTTGCTACCATTATTCTATTTCGCTTTTTTGATATTAATTTTTTTGGATTCCACAAGGATAAGGTGGAACATGCCGCAGATAAATGGTGGGCGTGTGTGTGTGTGTGTGTGTGTGTGTGTGTGTGTGTGTAAGGTCTTGCTGTGTCACCCAGCAAGATCATAAACTTCCAACTTCCGATCTCCTTGCCTGGGTCTCTCAAGTGCTGGAGCTGCAGGCACACGTCACCACACCTGGCTCACCAGGCGGCTTTAGAGCCTCCCTGTCATCACGTCACCCCCCTCCCCTTTCCTGGCATTTCCACTTCCTCCCACCATCTGGTTCCTGCCTCTATTTCTAGCTTTTCCCTCAGTCTCTTTGTTCCTCCCCTAGTTCCCCATGGCCCACCTACTCCTCTCTAAGTCGACTCAGAGTGCCTCCCACTGTCCTCCTGGGCTACCTCCGGTGCCCTTTCTGTGACCCCACCCCCCTCCAACAAGGTCCCACGCCCAGCTGTACCACAGCCCTCACCAGTCCCTAATGCAATTGTTGGTTTCAGCGATGTCTCTAACACACTGAGGATATTTTCCAGGCAGAGCTCCGTCACCTTCCCTGAGTCTCTAATGCCCAGGGCCTGGCACGTGCCAGATGATGGGCACAGCTGTCTGCTAAGGGATGAGCAACTACGTAAGCAGACAGCGATGTGGACTTGGGTGGATGTATCTAGACACAGAGTTCTAACCAACCTTTTTCTTCGGAAGAACATTACTAATGGAGTAGGGCCTGAGCAGTGACAGGGCCCCAGCCGGTAAACACGAGCCTTGCTTCCAACCCTGATGATCCAAACTCGATTCCCGGGGCTGACTGGAGAAAGCTGTCCTTTGACCTCTTCCTGTGTGCTATGGCATGCTCTACCCAGGTGTGCACACATGCATGCACATTCACACACACACACACACACAGACGCACGCACGCACACCAAATAGATAAAAATATAATAAAAATGTATAAAATCTATATATCTTCTCAGTGGTTTTTACAAGATGACAGGCCTACAAGGACATCATCACTGAAAAGTGACCTGAAGGACAGGGGGTGGGGGTGGGGCAGAGCTGTCTTCTCACGGGGCAGAAAGTAGCAAGGCCAGCCGCTATTCCCTATGTAGACATTTGCAAATTCCAAACTCCTCACGAGTATCTGCACTCATCTCAGTGCGACAGTAAGCCTTACTACCTATTACTTCCTTGAGTAGGCAATCACATCCAAATTCCACCATGTACACACACACACAACCTCCTCACTTCTGCTTGAACTACCACATTCTTCCTTTAGATAAAGTCACCCATAGATAAAGTGTTTGGCTGCCAACCATCCAGTTGTGGTGCCTCTTCCTACACGGATG